AAAAATGCAAATAATCCATTAAAAATGGTTTTTTTTTCCTGTTTTAGTAGTCTTATAGCATGTTTTGCTTGTGTGCTTTGTTTGTCGCATAGGTTTCGGTCGTTTCGTCGATCCACGGTTCCTTGAAGACGTTGTTGTGGTCTCATCTGTGCGAGAGCAAGGCAAGTCATGCATTACATTTAATCATATTGTACCCAATTTACAAATATCCCGCATTTGTATTAAATGTTGCATCGTTTTACAATGTCATGTGAGATGGGTCCTATTACTCAGCCATTTATTGTTTACCTTATGCCATTGATAACTTGGGTATCAAAATGACTAGATGTTGGTTTAGGAAAATGCTTAGCCATGCCTAGTTCAACTAGTACACAAATGGGGATCATATTATTACATAGACTTTGACTATTAGCATAGCTTTGGATTGGTGCCACCGCAATGGTGTTAGTTAATTAAAATACACTGAATGGTGGGCTGTGTGTGCATGGTTTTGCTGGTCGCACCCATGGCAATTAAGGACCGGTTCACGGGAAACCCTGGGAGACTTACCGTGCTTACCACAAGCGGGAGTGGGTAACTGCTTGATCTGAAGTATAGCTCGACCCTTTCCTAGGCACCGGTGGCGAGGGTGGGCGTGATGGAGTTGGGTCGGCCGGGATGTCCGGTTGTCCAGCTGCCGGATTCACCACGGCGCACGAGGGGACTGCCCACTGCCTTTTGAGGGGTGGGGGTGAAACTTTAGCGTGGTGTGGATGGTTAGAGGAGGGTTATGCGAAGGGTCTTGTCACGATTTCCCCCTTTGCAGTATCATGGTGATACTTCGGTGCATGGCGACATGTGTGGAATAGTGTCTTGTGGGTACAGTTGTATACCTCTGGCTAGAGTAAAACTATTCGAATAGCTGTGCCCGTGGTTATGGGCAATCAACCAAATTCACTATGATTAGTCTCATCCCTAGTTTAGCTTAATGAACTGGTGTAGTTCAGGTGGTTAGTTGGGCCTGTTGCAATGTGGTGTAGCGTTGGACAGTGATTCGTTAATCTTGCTTAATCTATTGCAACTGTTTTACTGCTTTCAACTACTGTTTTTAAATGCCTGCTTTATTGTAAATGAACCTTTTAGCCTCCTTTGGTTATATCCTGCATCATACCTCATCTTCCGGTATGACTTGCTGAGTACAGTGGGTAGTACTCAGTCTTGCTCTCTTTTCCCCCACACCAGAGCGGAAGTTCTTCCCAGTTGGAGCTGTCTCAGAAAGGTTGGTTTCGTCGCTGCCGTCAAGGATGTCTGTGGAGTAGAGTCGCTCCGCTACAGAAGTCAAGTTTCCAAGTTTAGCTCGTTTTATCTTTTCCGCTGCATTTGTAATCTTTTCTATTTTTGTAAGACGTGGATCTGTATGTCAACAATTGTCGTTTGTGTACCCTCTCACTAACAAGAGCTTAGTAACCATGAAGTACACTGGCAGAGGGGTTAGAGAGCACATTTTGAAGATGAGTGGCATCGCTTCAAAGCTCAAAAAGATGGACTTGGTTCTCCGTGATGAGTTCCTTGTTCACCTTAAAATTGCCTCCTTGCCTTCAGTTTTTGAGGTTTTTCTGTTGTGAACTACAACACACTGCCCGAAAACTGGGACTTTGAGAAGCTCATTGCCAAGTGGTGCAAGAAGGGGCACTATCAGAAGGATTGCCCTGAATTCCTAAGGCATCTCCTAAAGATAGGGATTCTGTACGAGGAGGACTCTTCAAAGAGTAGAAAGACGCAATAGTAATGTGAATGTTGTATGCAATGAAGTGAATGTTGCGTGCAATAGTGTGTCTTCCTCGTGTAACAATGTAAGAAGTGAGCGCAAACGATGCAATGAGGAAATCTCAGCGAAATTGTGGCACTGTCGTTTGGGCCACATTTCGAGGGGGAGAATTGAACGATTGATTAAAGAAGTAATTTTGCATCCGTTAGATTTTGCGGATACAAAATATTGCATCGATTGCAATAAAGAAAAGTATGTTAAACAAATAAAGAAACGAGCCATACGAAGTTTAGGAAAATTGGATAGTTATGATTCATTTATAACATTCACGGATGATTATTTGTGTTATGGCTGATGTAGAAAGTCAGAATGATCTAAAGATTAAAGTAGTAAAGTCTGACCGTGGAGGAGAGTACTACGGTCGGCATACCCCTTATGGCCAAATACCTAGACCTTTTACAAGGTTTCTACAGGGAAAATGGCATAGTAGCCCAGTACTCAATACCGGGCGAGCCTCAGCAGAACGGAGTAGCAAAAAGACGCAACCGCACTCTAATGGATATGGTGCGAAGTGTGCTAAGCCACTCCACTTTACCGATAAGTCTATGGATGGAGGCATTAAAAACCGCTGCCCATATTCTTAATCGAGTACCAAGTAAGTCGGTGTCCAAAACACCGTATGAGCTATGGACAGGAAAGAAACCCACGCTAAATTACGTACAGGTGTGGGGCTGTCCAGCTGAGGCAAAGTTATTTAACCCAAATATTGGGAAGCTAGATCCCAAGACAGTCAGTTGCCATTTCATTAGCTACCCTGAGTAAAGGGGAGCATGGTATCCCGAGAAATTAGTCTTGAAGAGAAGCGGGTATGTGCACCTACTCCGATGATTCAAGAACCTTCTTTCTCGATACCTGTTGCTGCTGCACCGACAACACAGAACGTTGCGATGCAAGCACCTGTTGTTAGTTCTCCTGTGACAACAACGAATGAGCAAGAGGAACCTAAGATTCAGGATCCTACACAACAAGTTGTCACACAAAAGGAAGAGCAACATCAGCCCCAAGTAGAAGATGTACCACAACTCAGAAGATCTCAACGAGAAAGAAAGACAGTTATTCCTAGTGACTATCAAGTCTATGCTAGTGAAGAAGTTCAAACAGAGGGTGATCCCACATCGTTTGAAGAAGCCATGAGAAGTGATCGTTCATCGAAGTGGCTTGAAGCCATGGAAGATGAAATGAGATAAATGAGTGCCAATAAAGTTTGGGACTTAGAAGAAATTCCTAAAGGAGCCAAAACAGTAGGCTGCAAATGGGTCTACAAAACAAAATGTGACTCCAAAGGGAATGTAGAAAGAGATAAAGCACGACTTGTGGCAAAAGGGTTTACTCAAAGAGAGGCAAAGGAACTTGTATGGAAGAGGGTGTTTGTACCATAGTTTGCAATAGGTAGTTTATTGAGTAGACCAGATTATTTAGATTAGTCTTTATGTTTGAGAGTGGTTTGCTTGAGAGTTGATTATTTTAGCCTTGCAGTCAAGGAGGTGGCATGCAGGGGCATTGGATGGAGTTCAGTGCAGAACCAGCGTCGGCAGCAGGTCATTTTCATGAGGCCAAACGCATACGCAGTACAAGGATATATGGTGGTCATTCTACTTCTACATGGCCATACATTGGCCCATGCATGATCGTGCAAGAGGTTTCGAATAGCTTGGTTTGCAATGCATTCGTGGTGAGGAGGCTGAGCCCAGTTGCACTTGTAGACGAACAGAGGTTTAAAATAAGATATGATCATTTGATCGATTTGTTTCTGTATTCGGTCGGATAAGGAAACCATGAGTAGTTTGGATTTGTATACATACCACTACCGGAGAAACCACCTTTGCTGGGTTGGCCAAAAACCACATTAGTCCTGGATCCAATATATTCCCTTAGGACACGGGACAAAACATCATTTTTTGTCCTGGTTGAAAAGCACAACGCCAACAAAACATCATTTTTTGTCCTGGTTGAAAAGCACAACGCCACTTTTATGAAGATCATTTTTAGTTTCGGTTTAAAAAGCATCCGGTCCCTTACTACCTTTCGTCCATGTTGGTATTACCAACCGGGACTAAAATTCAACGCGTCGTATATAATCCCTTGCACTTATCCTCTCCTCCTAGATCCCAATCTCTTCCTCCTCATCTTTTAACTTCCTCCTCTGTCCTCTCTCCCTTTCCTATCTCTTATCCTCTCGTTTTCTTTTTCTCGCTGCTCTCTCTTATCCTCTCCTTTTTCTTTTTCTTGCAGCAGCCAGCAGAGAGCGGCAGCGGCCTGCGCGTGGCGAGCGGCAGCGGCAGCCCACATGGTGGGAGGTGGCAGCTTGGCGCGGGAGCAAGCAGCGGCGAAGAAAGTTTATTTAGTTGTTGATTTATCTGTGAATTTGTTGATTTGTGATGTTTTTGGATCTGTAAATTTGTGATGTGAATTGTGAATGTTGATGTGGATGATTTTGTGATGCTTATGTGAATATTGATGATTTTATTGTTGAGTTTGGTTAGAAAACAATATGCAGACAACAAAAAAACAATGAAAATAAAAGAAAAAACTTTAGTCCCGGTTGGTGTTACCGACCAGGACTAAAGATGGGCATCTTTAGTCCCAGATTAGGGGTCCCGGTTGCATACCCGGGATGAAAGGGGGTTGCGAACCGGAAGTATTGATGCATTCCCCAGCAGTGTGCATACGCTAGTCGGATACGTCTGCTCCACCGAGACTGCCGGTATATACACGGATAGATGGCCGTCTAAGCCCCGAACAAATTATCAATATACTATTTTCTCATTCTTTTACTTTTATGTGTTTTCTATTTTGTTTTCATGGCTGAGTCCTAGCAACCATAAAATTTCCTTAATAAAGCAAGGAAGTTATCCTTTGCTAATTTGGTTGGAAACTAGTCATTCGTTGTCACGTAAATACGATATTTATCTTTTTTGCTAATTTGTTCAAAATTAGTCATTTGATTCCACAAAAGTGAACTAATCTCGAAATTGGCACCGCTAGCCAATTTTGATCTAACGATTTTGGCGACTCCATTGATTATACCATAAACCGTTAAGTGATTTTGTGTTGGCCACGAAAAACCATCAGCAGAGGTGCATATCTGGCAACAGTCAGAACACATAGCCAATTTTCTGAATCATTCAATTTAGATATTGTAGTTTATTCATCTGGCAACAGTCAGAACACATAGATGCATTTCTGGTCCCAATGAAATCGAAGAAAATGAACTGCAACCAATTATCACCCTTATATATGCCTCAAACACAGTTCCGCTGATAAGACAAATTACAAATCTTCTGTAATTATTAATTAAGCACATGGAATGAGCTGCACATCACACCATTTTGTGTTAACGAGATAGCTAACTCAGTACTTCAATTCAGCCCAATTTGTGGAAGTGGAGGGCTATTCGCACAAAAGTTGCAGTAATAAAGCCCATCAGTACTGAAGCACTCGCCTTTGCTTTGGTACTTATCTGAGCATATCGCTTTGCAGGTTGCATCAACGCATGGTTTTGGTACTTCTGTGATTGGTGCAGCATGACACTCTTCAGTAGCTGAAACCTTCCCTGATATGTCTGGACATGTAGATGGAAAATATACGGGTTTACTATGTGTAGGAGGTATGAAATTCTCTTACATAACAAAGTAAATAGATCTCATAAAGACAATGTAAGCACGCAAGTTTGCTTCCTTATGTCTGAGAAGTATTTAAATACCTAAACATAGCACCATGAGGGAAATTGCAACCAGGGCAAGCTGATTGGTCTTCATCTTTTTCCTTACAAACGTCAAATACTAGATGACTGGTGGGTAATATTGATGTTTGATGAAGATGCTTACTTGGCAACACATGAGTTTTTATAGCATTGGTGCTAGCACAATTTTGGAATCAATTTAAGGTGTGTATAGATAAGGCATCAATTCAATACCGTAATCATGGCTAAAATGATCGGATAAAATACATATGTACATCTAAAGGCGTGTCCTTACCCTGGAAGTTGTAACTGAAATTTTAGGATGTGCTTTCATATCCCTATGGAGATAGTTCCTAGTATAGCATAAACTTATAATTTCTGCTTTAAAACAATACTTGTTTAAGAAACAGGGTTGGTTGCTTAAAACTATGACTTAAGATTACATTCCCTCCTTTTTCAAATTGGAACCATGCAATTACGATTTTACAGGAATTCGAGATGTGCCACTACAAACCCCTTCCAAGCATTATCAAAAAAAATTTCACCAAAATTCCCCCTTCATCTTCTTCCTTTCCCTCAACCGGACCATGGCCTGATGATGGGGTTGGGGGCTACTGTCGCTAAAGTGTGAATGATGGCCCCCTCTTTATTGGGTTCTTGGGGCACTGTGAGGCCCATGATAGTTAAAGCAAGAATAGTAAATAGTCGCAAATGCTACCTCGAAGCCGAGGAAGATGACCCAACGTTAGGGATGAAAATGGAGCGGATACAAACGGATAAAGCACATACCATATTTGTTTTCATATTTTTTGCCGGATACAGAAACGAATACGAATAGCCTGAATATTGAAACAAGTACAGATTATCTCGAATACAAATAAGAATAAAAAATGATCGGACATGAATAAGGAAACATCTTTTTCTTGGAACACGAAAAACAACTCAACTTCTAATAGAAACAAGTATCAACATATATAATTAGCTCAATTTCTATAAAATGTAGTATAATTTATAAATATTATTAAAAAATTTAAATAATATTAATAGTGTGGACTAGTGTTAAGAGATGAACTACTATTAAAATGTAAAAAGGTATATTGAAGGTCATAGAGTAATAAAGAAATGGGGTATGTCTCATGGCTTCTGCGAATATCCGAATAGCACTGTTCACCGGATATTCGAATTATTATCCGTATCCAACGGAAACCCCAGTACCATATTCGTATTCGTATCTGGGAGAAAATATCCATATTCGAACTATCCGAAACTTATCCCATCCGAAAGGTATTCGTATTCATTTTTCTCCGAAGCGGACGATAACTATTCGCTCCGGTTTCACCCCTACCCGACGTCAATGCCAGTGTTGACGGTCGTTATAGACCAATTTCGACCGTCAATATGACTAAAATAAAGGAGAGCTAGCTATGCTTACAATGCATATTTATTTTAGAATAATATACTTCCACTTGTACTTGGATTTTATTTGAGTGCAGGAATTGAGCAAATAAAATAAAGAGAAAATGAGGAAACCTCAATCCTAAGCAGGCTTATGGATAAGTTGGGCCCACTTGTCAGGAGTAACCGTCTCGGAAACCATCATAACTGTCACAACCGTCATAGGGACCCACCTGATAGTGGCCCAGGAGAATTTGGAGGCCTGCTGGGCTGGCCCAGGTTCGGCCGAACCACCCTGGCAACGCTGGCTCAGGCTGGCCTTACACATGGACGTCCAGGATCACTTGCTAAAGGCGGTTGCGGGGCATTTTCCGACATTTCGCATGCTCTACAACCATCATCACTTGCTGAAGGAGGAGCTCATTCGCTCTCTCAACACACTCAACCAAGCTCAAATATATCTTCTACACTTTAGTTTAGTTTTCTAGTGTTAATTGGAGTAGAATAGAATAGCTCTCGGAGTCCTCGGAAGTCTTCGGAGGAATTTCGGTATGGTTGTAGTAGCTTTCCTTCTTCCTTTTGTAAGACTTTCGGAATTAATAAATTACTATTTGTAATATACTCTCGATACTTTAGTATATCTAAGTATTGTCTTTACTTTATACCTGTATCGGTACAGTCTTATAGCTAGCCTAACAGAGAGGTGCAGTGGTGTAGGTTTAGTGTCCGATTATTCGGTTGCTCTATGTCATCTCGGGGGATGTAGAGTAGTATTTAATAATGTGTATGTGGTGTCTAGATTATTAAGTATCACTATCTGTGCATATATGCTACGGGTCAGTCGAGGTGGGCCGCTGATGGTGACAGCTCAGTACGGGTATTCCTCCATGATAGTATATGTTCCTAAGAAACTTTCCTGGGGAGGGTACTCCTCCGTATTTATCCCCAGTTGGACGGCCATGAAAGGTTGTCGTAAGAAACTCGGTAACCCGGGGTGGTCTCTCGTGTAGATTTTGCGATCAACTAAAACATATTTCCTCCATTTCATATTATAAGACTTTCTAGCATTGCCCACATTCATATAGATGTTAATGAATCTAGACATATATGTGTGCCTAGATTCATTAACATCTACATAAATGTGGGCAATGCTAGAAAGTCTTATAACCTGAAACGGAGGTAGCAAGTGCTACGCCTAAACATGATCACCCTTAATGCAGAATTCCTAGGTTTCACTTACCGTTGTTTGAAGCCATTGATGCGGTTCTCCTTTTGTTGTCAACCAAAGTGGAAGTAGAGGATGGAGAACCTCGGACCACCTCGCTTGTCGGTGTAGAGGATGTAGTCATAGTAGTGAGGACGCCGGCTTGATCCTGAAGGGCTCGCTGGAGATCACTTGCAGGGTAGCAACGCCCTTCCGGTCGCCACCTACACTGTCCCAGAACCACCACATGTTTCCCCTCCAGTGCCAATGTTGATCAGGGTTTAGGGTTTTGTTGTCGGGGAGATTGAGACAGAGAGAGATCGTCATCTACTCTTGGGCCGGCCTCCCCTTTTATATTTTGCGCTGTAGGGAATCGGGGGTGACTAAAAAGAAAAAAATTGGGCGCCACCGATCATGGCGCGTAGTTAATCGGGAATTAACAGATTGAATCACTGTGATTGCGCGGAGACAATGGGTGGAACGGTCTAGCGTGATCTCCTCCCGGTTTTTTCAAACCGAGAGATCAATTTTCCCAACATTTTCCCCTTTGATCTTGAAAAGAGGTTAATGAATTCATTCTTAATAAAATAGTTCACTAAGGCAACGTGTCATTGCAGTTATCATATCCTACCAAGACCTAACTATAGTACCTATAGTTTACTATAAAATTTCGAAAGAACTCTATCTAATCTTAGTGGGAGTTAGTTGAGACTAATGTCCCTATTTCCAGGATCTTAGTCTTAATCAAAGGCAGTCAGTTATTACCATGCCGGCTATATGATCTTTAATTAAGTCGGGAGGTAAGCCTTTGGTAAGCGGATCCGCGAGCATTGACTTAGTACTAATATGCTCAATCTTAATGGTTTGATCCTGGATTCTATGTTTCACAACATGATACTTAATGTCGTTGTGTTTAGCAACACTACTCGACTTGTTGTTACTTGAATAGAATATTGCAGCTTTATTATCGCAGTATAATGTAATTGGTCTAGAAATGCTGTCGACCACTCTTACACTCGGGATAAAATTCTTAAGCCATACGGCCTGTCCCGTTGCTTCATAACATGCCACAAATTCAGCCTACATTGTCGACGATGCAGTCAAGGTTTGTTTAGAGCTTTTCCATGAAATAGCTCTGTTTGTGAGAGAGAATACATAACCTGATGTGGATTTTTTAGTGTATACACATCCCGCAAAGTCTTCGTCAGAATAACCTAGGACTTCAAGTTCTTAAGACTTCTTATATGTGAGCATGTAATCCTTAGTGTCTTGCAAATAACGAAAGACCTTTTTAACAGCCTTCCAGTGGTCTACTCCTAGATTGGACTGAAATCTGCCATGCATCCCGGTAACAAATGCTAAGTCTGGACGCGTACAGACTGGAGCATACATTAGGCTTCCTATAGCTGAAGCGTATGGTACCATTTTCATCTGATCTGATTTTAATTTATTTTTCAGGCTTTGAAATAATCCAAATTTATCGCCCTTAACTATTGAAGCAGGTGTTGCAGAGCACTTATATTATATCTTTCTAGTACTCTGCTAATGTATGATTTCTGAGATAATCCTAGTACTCCTTTAGACCTATCTCGGTGTATTTCAATGCCTAAAACATAAGATTCCTCACCAAGATCCTTCATATAAAAATTAGATGACAAAAAATGTTTAGTCTGATGCAACATATCAATGTCGCTGCTTGCTAACAGTATGTCATCCACATAGAGTACTAGTATTATAAATTTTCCACCCTTAGTCTTAATGTAAATGCAATTATCCACCTCATTCTCCTTAAATCTGAATCTCTTAATTACTTCATCGAATTTAAGGTACCATTACCTTGACGCTTGTTTAAGTCCATAGATAGATTTCTTAAGTTTGCAAGCCAAATTGTCCTTGCCTTCCATAACAAAATCCTCGGGTTGTGCCATGTATATACATGCTCATGCAGGTCACCATTAAGAAATGCAGTCTTTACATCCATCTGATGGAGCTCTAAATCATAATGAGCAACAAGCGCCATGACAATTCTAAATGAGTCTTTCTTAGAGATAGGAGAAGATGTCTCATTGTAATCTATTCCTTCTCTTTGTGAAAAACCCTTTGCTACAAGCCTCGCCTTGAACCTTTCGATTTTCCCTTTTGAGTCAAGCTTAGTTTTGTAAACCCACTTATAGCCTACTGTTTTGGCTCCTTTAGGAATTTCTACTAAGTCCCAGACTCCATTATGACTCATAAATTTTAATTCATCTTCCATAGCTTCAAGCCATTTGGATGAATGTTCACTCGTTATTGCTTCTTTAAATGAGGTGGGATCATCTATCTTCCCAATATCTTCACCTAAATAAACATCATAATAATTTGGGATAGCAGATCTTCTCTCCTGTTGTGATCTTCTAAGTGGTTCATTTTCGATCACCGGCGGTTGAGAAGATTCTTGTGGAATTTCTTCATTATGTGCCTCAGAAGTCTGTTGAGTGTCATTATTTAATTCATTATTATTATCAACTGAGTCGGTATCACCAGAATTTTCATCTGGTGCT